TACACTTACTTTCCACTTGACAATTATATACAGCTCTCTGTGAGTCTATCACATAAAATTGCAATTAAATGCTTTGAAATTTGTGGGTGAAGGGGTATGAACACTTTTGTGAGGCAGCGTTTGACAATTTTAGAGGCATCAATCAAATAAACTCACTGTGAAGCCAGAATAAAGCTTTACTGTACAGTCTAGTAGTTATTTATAGTGTTGTGTCTGAATGCTTTTACATAATTTCTTCCACATATGAAACTAAAAGGGTTTCCGTGGTTTGCACACAAGCAGAAAAACATTTGTTTTTTTTCATATTTTAGGGCCTGGTGGGAACTTTTGTCATTTTATTGTTTTGCAGCTTTTATTTGCTGTGTTGTTGAATATTTGACAATCCCAAAAAATGCAGCATTGTTCCCCATGGACCCAAACCAGCAGGTCATAGCCAGCATGAGACATGGAAAACTCACGCTGGCAGCGTAGGTCGCTCATAACATGACTATAATGTTTATATATGGACTGCATAAAGATGGACTGAGACCATCTTTAAAGTCATACATGTTTAAACTCATGCACTCAAAAATAAAGCAAGTTATTTTCTGACAAACTTGCCTCAAGAAAATAGAGCTAATAAACATTATTACTGCATAAATTTTGCCAGGCTGAAGCACTAATCATCCAAGCTACACCACTTTTTTAATACCGCACCACCAACACCACTAGTGCTTGCAAAGCTATTTTCAAAAACATTCCAATCCAGCAATTGTTAAAGGCTGGAAAAGAGACGATAGGAAAAAGTCCTCGGAGGCCACATTGTTACTGCAAAGCGTTTTAAGAGCTGATCCAGAATGTTACTGCTCTGTTAAAGTTCATTTCAGGAACCTGATATTTTCTTTGGCTTACTCTTCATGTTGCCACTAGGCTGCAAACCGCCTGAAACTTGCAGAAATGGACTCCATTAATGATTTATTATCATGAATGTTGGATGATTTTACGCTATCAGTGTTTGTTCTACGTTTGTTTTATTTCTGTTTGCTACGTGTGTGTTCAAACTTGATTTCAGCCTGGAGAATGACAGATTTCTGGTCATTTAATCAAGCTTGGAAAGTTTGTAGGTTGCAGATTCATGGCAGCCCATAAAGACAACAAAAGATCTTGTTTTTAAACAGAGAAGGTAATTAAAATTCTTTATCTCCTAAGCGGTCTCTTAGGCTTCTAAAACGTCCCTTCACCCGACATCAATTGGCCATGAACGAACACGGAGGTGCTATGGACAGATGTGCTGGAAGGAAAACTGCAGATTTATTGAGCTTTCTCTTGAATAAAAGCAGTTAAATATCCTGCATGTCAAAATGGATCAAATCAGTTTCCACCATGTCACCGTTTATTGAAAATAAAAATGTATTTACTGATCAGTACATTATTTTTCTTTGTTCATGTTTTATTATAGTTATATTGTGCTATGATTATTATGAGCCCATTGTGAACTTGTATGCTCACTGTGCATCCCAAAAAAATCGCAGAAACTTTGCTCACAAATTGAATTATGAAGATAACTTAAAATTCATAAACTATATTAATGCAAATGTGTATTTTCAGTTACTGGTGTAGAATTACATTTGAAACCCTATTTATGGGACACTATACTATAAAAAAGAATTATTTTAGAAGGACAATGTACAATATATACATTTAAATGGGGTTGGTCATCTTTATTCTATCACACAGGTAGACTAGGTTATTATTGCTAATAGTAATACTATTTTATTTGGGATTTTTGTATATTATTGTAAATTAAATCAACTGATTTTTTTTTAATCTCTTGTAAAGCATCTTTAAGTGCCCTAAATATATTCATATAAGTTTGATGTATGATAATTGTTTTATTAACAAGCTTGCTCCAGTGTATGCAGGCGATTGTTAGTTCACCAGAATGGAAAGTAATTATCAATGACCTTAGAGATGTAACCGGTGCTTCCATTCAGTCTTGAAAGGTTTTTTCCAACCATTTGAACTGGAAGAATTTTAAAAGTGGAAAATATTAGGACACCTCGGCTTTGTAGATTTTGCAGCTAAAAGGAACTGGGAATCTTATACTGACTGAGTCATTTTCTGCAGACCAAAGTATTTTGAAGTCAAACGAGAGGCGACCTGAGCAACATCCAGAAGTTTTTTTTATTATTTTCATCATGAGGATGTACTTTCTTTTCACCACACACTAAACTGCATTGATATACATTAGAAATGTTAAAAAGTACACAAACAGACTGATTCAAACCAAAGCAAAGACATGTACAACTATACACAGACAATCATTCATCATGTTCCTGAGACCTTTGAATAAGGTAAGAATCTACAAAACAAACTGAAAATGATGGGAACGAATCGATGAAACACAAACTTCCATCATGATTTGAGATGTCAGGATCTAAGATAGATGACACAAAGTGCTTCAGTTCAGATAAACCTTTACACTAGAGAGAAATACATGTAAGGAATGCCTGCATGACCCAAAACATGATCTAAACATCACTGACGTTGCCTGGATTTTAAGCACTTTTTAACAATGTCCATATGAAATCAATTCATAGTCAAAAATATGACCATTTGCAGCAACTCTTACTTTGTGAACTTGATACCCTATTGTCTTTAGCAACAGAGTCTAATTCAGGCTATAAAGCACACACTTAACATTTAAACAAAAAACAGTGGGCAATGTTTGTTTAAAAAAAATTGCAGAGTAACAGCATAATTGTGTTAACTGAGAAATCTCCATTTGTGTAACAATATGTTTTCTATAATGGGAGATGTTTTGTTAAAGCCATTACAACAAGACTGCTTGAGAAAAGCAATTCACTCTGTTGGAGAGCTCATTGCTTCACATTCCTCCAAAGTTGTGCATTACTCAGCAGTGGCTTAAAAAATCTGATTTGCCTGCAGCTGATCCCAGATGTTGGCTGAGCTGCAAGATCAGTCAGGGACAATGCAAGCTCTCAAGTGTCTCTGTGAGTCTGCAGATGCACTAAACTCATAAACGCAGCGAAACAAATTTCTCTAAACCAGGACAATGGACCAATAAAAGTAACTCAATGAGATGGAAAACACCTTTGAGGGGATCCGACCAGTTTTGATAGTTATGGTGCTTTTGCAAAATAGTTGCTACTATATTACTCAGTTCTTTATATGCAGTGGTTAATGTCTCTGCAAATTCTTCAAATTGGACACTTTTCTTGACATCTTTAATCAAAAACTAGTGGAAAAAGTCTCACTGACTGGAGTGACTTGTACGAAAAAAATTCAGACTCTTATATTGGCATTGGGACAGGGAATAAGTCCTGGAACATTTTTTCCACATTTTATTTTAACATTTTTCCCTCACTGATTCACACCAGGAAAATAAATAACTTTTTCTGACGGTTGAAGAACTTTATTCACTAATTTCATGATGACTGAGCTAATGCTGAAGATAGATGGAGCTAAAACTCTGTTCAAGCTACATTAATGAGATTACCTTCAAAGGAGGTTGCCTCAGAGGAGAAGTCACTGAAGCCCAAAAGTGAAGGGACAAAGTTGTTAAAAAAGATGAAGATTTATTTAAAATTCAAACACAGTTGTAAGTTGGAGTCGTTTATCTCTTTGTCAAGCTGAAGTGTTTGTTGTGCGCTGTGGTTCCAGCTCAGCCTCTGCTTTCAGACAGCACCAAAGATGACAGCACTTCATCTTTCTAACAGACAGCAAAAGCCTTTTTTTCTTACAAAAAACATTTTGTAGAAACCAAAACCACTCTGACAAAGGCTGCCAGTCTGCTCAAACACGCGGGGACAACCAGAGACTTCAACACGAATGTCTGCGGTTCAGAGTGGGTCACGGAAGACAGAGCCCATGGAGACATGTCTGCTTTGTCCACCTTGGAAATTTCCTGCCAGATAGCGCCTGGGAGAACCATTTCCCCTGGCCGTCTGCGCCCAGGCCTCAAATATGTGAGAAAATGCTGCTGGGTGATTCAGCCTGCACTGTGATTATGGGCTTTTTGATATTTTGATATTCTACCCCCAAATCCTTCTTTTTGCCTCAACATTGTGCTTCGGTATCCTGTCAAAATATTTTGGAAATGTTGTCAGGGCTCTAAATATGGAGTCCCCGTGAAGAGTACAAAACGGGATCGAATCATAATTAGTATGTTGGCTTGTTGGGCAACTCCTAAACACCATATGAAGCAACACCAATAATATGTCTTCATTAAGATATAAAATGGTCCTTTTTGCTGTGATTAATGTGAAAAAATATTCATATTTAAATTATCTAAACTATTAGAAATACATGAAATAATACATCTTATTCCACATGCAGCAGCATCATTACAGCAACATAGTTCCACATCTCACCAAAGTCTGTGAACAGTCAAAAATATACAGCTTTATGCACGGTCACATGGCCGGACCAGGAATGAAACAGAACCACCCTAAGACCATGACAGCTCTGCCAGAAAGGCTCGGGGAAACATATACTTAAGTGGAATACCATGTGATTTGGCTGCAACAGGGATATGCACGTAGTCCTATAACTGCACATTAACTGGCCTCCGTGCAATAACAAGTTAACCTTTTATCTGGCTATAACAAGCTCCACCACCATATCCAAATAAACACAGGATGCTATTCAATTGAAGCTGCTGAAAAGACTTCTGTGCAACAAGACAAAATAAAAGACACCCACTATTTTGCAAGCTAAAAACTCCAAAAAATGTTTATGTTATCATGCCACACAAAAAGATCAGTGTGCACACTGAACATAAAAATGATATTTGTTGACAATGGTGTTCATGGAAATCTCAAAATGATGCTTCAGCATTATTTTGCAAACTGATTGCCAAAAATGATTTTATGTTGGAATAAAGCAGAAAGTGTTGCAGAACTCAGACCTCTAGAGCAGAACAGATTATGCAAGATACTGTGGCTGATTTAGAACATGTAAGGAAATGTCTGATGAGCGATGTTCAGCTGCAGTTGTACCTGAGTCAGTGGCAGTAATAAGCAGGGTGTATTTCCCTCGAGTTTCCCGATCCAGAGTCTGGGTAACACTGAGCTGTCCGCTGGATGACAGGGTGAACGCTCCCTCATCGTTCCCACCGCTGAGCATGTAGCTCAACTGTCCGTTGGCTCCTTGATCATCATCTCTGGCAACAACCTGAAAATAAGATTATTATACTACAAATTCAATAAAAATGGCTACATTCCGATATTTTACTCTGTCATCATTAAATTGAAGTTCTAATAATTATTGGTCACATTCAAAATCCAGACAGTGAATTTTGATCATATTTTCTGAAACATTTCCATTTTTAATGACATGTAAAAATTAAATGCACAGTTTAAACAATAGATGAATAAATATGGACAGATTACTCGTTTTCATCACATTCTGAAAGACGCTAAATGAAAAAAAGTTACATCAACCTGATTTATTTGACGTGAATGTTTGGTTTTCTGGTGTGGGGTTGTTTGTAGTAGCTGTCTAACCTGCAGTACACAGAGTAACATGAGGAGTGTTTCCACTACTTAAAGTTTGGAGATCATACTTTAACTGAAATTACTGCCTGGAATTTATTGTAGGTAAAACACTGCTTGCTGATAACTACTCATTGATTCCAACTGGAAAAAGATGTCTTGACCTTGAAAGGCATGAATGAATATAATATCTATATATTACATATGGTGTAATTACTAATATCCCTAGTATAGAGTTGTTTAATGCCTGAGAATAAACTCATTCTCCTTTTTAGCTCACTACATGTTTTCTTCAGGATTTTAAACTCGGCACTAAGATGGCCATAGAAGGAGGGGGATTTAATGTCTGGTGACCCATTTCTGTGTTGATTTGCCTGTTTATTTTGCTTCACTGTTCTTGCAAAAGACCCTATGGCGACCCATTTTTCTTGTGTTTTTATTCAAAATTACTAGTATTAAAAATAAATCCATGATGCTATGCGCAGTAACAAGGTTCCAAGAGGCTTTGGGAAAGAAACTCGCCTAGTGCATCAGTAATGAGGGTGTATTTTACAGTTTTATCTATTGGTTCAAACCAAATCCACCTCAAGTGTTTGGTGCTTGAAAAGCCAAACAAACATTTTTAGCATCAAAAGTAAGTTCCCTTCTATTTTCTACTGGCAACATCTGGATTTTTATCCCATAGAATTGAAGGATGCATTTTAGAAAAGCTTACATTGCATAATAAATGTAATCCAGTGAAAGGCTGATGTTACTGCAAGAACATTTGAATTTATTTTAAGTCTTTTTACACATCTTTACCAAGGGTGGCAATAATTATGGTGTATGTTGTAAAACCAACCTACCAACTGGGGACAGTCCAGTTTAACCACTGTCCTCTCTAAATCATTCTAGTAAAACAGATGGGGGTAATTACCAGCAGTGGCACCATGGAGGTAATTGTTGAGGCAAGGAAGGTCATTACTTATTCATTTTGTCTAATCAGACTTTCTCAGAGAATTTCTCAGAGAGTTGGTAAGTAGGGTTCGCCTACTTTAAGCTGCAAATACTTTTTTCTTTTCATTTTTTTCTTTGGATAAAAATATTTTACAAGTCCAATTTTTAACTGTATGGTTTCTCATACCCTCCTGACATGGCCATTATAGCCAGGTTAGCACAGATGTGAGCTCCTGCGCGCAGCCACCATGTCTGGACCCTTTCCCACCACATAACTGTAGCCTCATTTCCTGTCAATGTATACACGTGAAGGAGAGTGCAGCTGCCGTGCTACTGGAAAAAGGCTTTCCCTGCTCCATATTTTATACATGCCTCATTTAGTCATCAGGGTGGTTACGATGTTAATTGGCTCGTCATGCAGTTTAGAGCAGTTTCATATTTTGTTGAAATCCTATAAAGGCTTAATTGAGCAGAGCAAATTGCTGCCATATATCATTTCTTTATCATTTCAGTCAGGTATTTGTCATTTAGCAAAGTAAGACCACTGGGCTCAGTGCTTCAGTGAACTTATACTACTTACATACCGGCACTTATTAGGTTGGTATTACAACAAATTTAGTTAAGGCATTAGCTTGTTGAAGGGCTTTGAACTGGCATTTAGAGTACTCATTTAGGAGGGCTTTCTGTGAAGGTAAAAACTGAACAAACAAATAGAAGCTGAGAAATAGAAGAAAACTGACCTGCAGAATGGTGTTTGGTAAGTTCTCAAGGTTCTCCTTGACATTGATGGTGTAAGGAGAGAGCTCAAACACTGGTGAACAGTCATTAACATCTAATAAAACAATGTTGACGGTTGTGCGGTCCACTCTGGGGCTGCTTCCACGGTCTGAAGCCTGGACCTCCAATGAATAGGATGAATGTGTCTCACGGTCAAGCTGTCTGGCAACTGAAATCACCCCTGTGACTGAATCAATTCGGAAATCATTGTTGGTGTTTCCTCCGGCGATGGAGAACCGGATCTGTCCATTGGTACCATCATCAGCATCAGTGGCAAACACCTGGATGACATCAGTGCCAGTCAAGATCTTCTCCTCGATCTCAATGTCATAGATGTTTTGTGAGAAGCTTGGCGTGTTGTCGTTGACGTCCAGAACCATCATAGTCACGTCCATGGTGGAGGATAGAGGGGGCTCACCTTTATCTGTAGCCACAATGGTAAGGGTGTAGTTGGAAAGTTCCTCCCTGTCCAGTTCTCCGACCAATCTGACATCCCCAGCGATCACACCGATACTAAACTTATTACTAAAAGTTCCTCTGAGGGAATATTCCACATAGCTGTTGGGTCCACTGTCGGCGTCTGTGGCCTGGGCGGTGAACACCACGGTGTCCACCGGTGTGTTCTCCTGAATGTACGTCATCTTCTGGGATGTGAAGGTGGGAGGGCAGTCGTTGACGTCCAGAAGGATGATTGAAACCTGGGTGGTGCTGGTGAAACGGGTGGCGGGAGGCGGTGCCAGGTCATTGACAGTGATCGCCAGGTTGTAGAAGGACTGGGTTTCTCGGTCGAGTGCCCTCTTGATTTTGAGAACACCTTCCTTGGTGATGGCAAAGTGGCCATGAGGATCACCAGATGAAATTTTGTAGAGAAGCTGAGCATTTGGACCTGAAAAACATAAGATTTTGGTGATTAGAGAAAGTTTTTGTTCATTTTATGTTAAATGCGAGACGTACATTCAGCCACATTGGGGAATGTCTGAACATGAAGGGCCTTTTTTAGGTCCTGGTGCGGCATTTGAATTTTACAAAGCCATTCAAATCTGGAATTGCTATATGCTTTGTGATCTATTTAGATGTTCTGCATTTTTGGTGGCCTCTAAGAAGAGTAATCTATATTCTGTTATAGTAATTTTGGTATTTAGTGGTTTGCTGTGGTCTCAGTCGTAAAAACGGGTTGTTACTCTATCCAGACTGATAGGTGTCAATGAGTTTGTTCTCGAGTTTAGACTGGGGTGTGATTTATAGCTTTTTGAGACCTTTTGTCCAACTTTTTGTTTTAAGACTTGTTCTTTTAAACTCATTTCTTGTTCCCAGAATTTCACACATTTTACAAAATAAGTAAATCAATTTTCAACTCAAATTCAGTTTATTTAGCTCTAGCTTGTATTTCAGAATGCTTTACACCTGGGTTCCTGACTAACACTTTTGTACAGCATACACTTGGAGCAGCTTTATAATGGTTATGGTTTTGTTTTTAGCAAACTTGTTTTCTTGCCAAGCCTCTTTAAATTCACTGTTGCTCATAAAGTTGAAATAACCTCTTTTCATAAAATAATAGCAACAATGTGATTTATTTTTGACAGATTAAGTTTACATCCACTTGAAATTTTATTGATCAATCTCTTCCAAGCATATCACTGTGAAAATTAAACCACAGTAAAAAAGAGGAATGTGACTGAAAACAAAATTATTTAAACTTTATGGGCAACAGTGTAGTGTATGCACTTTTCCATGACGATGGAGCTGCTGGTGGATAACTTAACAAGAATATTTAAATTTTATTTGGCTGAGTGAGCCATTTTCAGTAGGATAAAAAATGTATGCAAAGGGACTTTTTATGACTCTAAGAACTTTCACAAACACTGTTTGGAGGCACATAAAAATTACAAATGATAAGACCTATTGCAAAGACATTAATGTGAGAACAAACTTAATGAAATACATTGTCACAATTTAACCTTGAGTTGATTAAAGAAAACAAAGAGAACCTGATAACTAAAAGAAAGCATGGTGTATCGAAGGTCAAATTCTGATATTTCTATTGTTCATGATATAAAAAGCAAAATACTTTGCATTGGGCACTCATGTGGATAATCAACATCCATTTCCACAAATTGTACAAGTGCATCGTCTGGCTTCTCCTCTTGACCTCCAAGATTTCAATCCATTCATGTTGCATGACAGATTGCTATCAAAATGGAAACCAAACTGTAAGCCACTTCCACAACTGATAATGCCTTTCTGCAATTTAGCAGAAAGAAAAACAACATAGGCCCAACATTTATTTAATGGCAGAACTGGTTGACATCTGAGTGGATTTGTAGAGTAAATCACCTAACTTTGAAATCTGGCCTAATCCATAGCATTCCCCAGGAAGTGGAGGATAAAATGAGCTTAAATTGACCGTTGATTATTCAACTCAGCGGGTATTGAAGTAGAAAGCTTTGACACCTTCCCACACTCGATGTGTATTTACAGTACACAAGTAATTCATTATCAGGAGACCTGCTTCCATCTGAGTTTAGACTATTCTGTAGAGAGACAAAGTCTTCGGGTCAGGGGTCAGAGCTTGGGAAGTGCTAACAATGGCAGTGTTTTATTGTGACAGTGAAATACAGCAGCTTTGTATCTGAAAGGACGACGTGGTCAGATTATGTGGAGAAAGAAGCCAGGCTCCGGGTTAAGAGAGCAAGGCACCGTATTTCCCAGGAATGTAGGTCACGATAACCACATTAGGCTTGGATAAAGCTGTAATTACAGCAAGGGAGAGAGTACCGCCAACCATTCAAGTAGCGCACTCACTTTTGAATCTCAGAAGTCCCCCACTTTGGAGGAAAAACCAAATCATGCCAATAAATCACATAGTTTGTTTAATCAGAATAACTAAATCTATTGTAGTGTCAGGAGGTTCTGTGTATTCAACAATCAAAATAATGTGACAATCTGACATTAAAACAATCTCCTCGGGCAACGAGTGCTGGGTTACATGGTGGAGCACTTGGTGGCTTTGAATCCCAGTGCATGAATTCCTTCGCTCTGGGTACTCTGGTTTGCTCCCACTATCCAAAACCATGACTCTCTGGTTATCTGGTCTCTCTGAATTGACCTATTCATGCAAGGCATGAGTGTGTGCATGACTTTTGTCGTATGATGGACTAACAACACATGCAACGTGGCTTAGAGAATAGACTTCAAAATAAATCTGTTAGTTCATAAATCTCTGAACATGTTATGGATCTGTTGTGTCAATCTTCCAGACCACTCAGGTCATCTGGTTCAAATCTACTTTGCTTTAGAAAAACTGTGACTTTAGTTCAGTGAATTTGTTTAGCTGTTCCTTTACTAATTAAAACTCGGTGACCTGAAGGTGTTTGGCATTTCATTACTTCAGGATGACATTTTTGACATACCATCATCAGCGTCACTGGCCAGAACTGTGACGATACCGGATCCAGGCGGCAGGCTCTCTGAGACAGAAGCGCTGTACACAGTGGTGTTGAAGATGGGGGAGTTGTCGTTCACGTCCAGGACGTTGAAATAAACCCGGACTGTACTGGCCTGTCCACCACCGTCCTCAGCTTTCGCAGTTAAGATATAGTACTGCTGGGTCTCATAGTCCAATGGACGCGTCACATTGAAAACGCCCGTCACTGGGTTGAGAAGGAAGGTCCCGTCTTCATCGTCCTCCTCCAGCGAGTAGGTGACCTCTCCGTTCACCCCCGAGTCAGAGTCACTTGCCAGGATTGCTGCAACGATGGAGCCTGAAGGATGACACAGGCACAATGTTTACTGCTTTATTTTAAAGTATTATTGCTCAAGGATTATTTTTAATACAAGTGACTGACTGATTGTTGAGCCAGCTGCTAATTCTGTTTTGGACTTCTATGACTGAACAAACAGATCATTATTAAAGAGTTTCTGAATGCTTAAAAGGATTATAATTCAATTTCATCTTCAACAGACATTTTTCTTTGATTACCAACTCTTATTCAGTGCTAAGAGGGGTGGATGAGGTCTGCCAGACGGTTGTCAGAGGCTGTAAATCAAATCTGAGTTATTCCCCATTTGACCCACTAAACTTTTGATTTCCCTCTTGAGAAAAATGCTGAATATTTCAGAGCTACAACACATAAAATGCTTGGAAAAAATGCACAAGAAAAAAAGTTACCCTTGAGCTGTGTTAGTTTGCTCTGAGAGATTTTCCAGAAGACAAAACATTGCCTGCTCCGTCCATTCTGGCGTGTTTAGTTTGTAAACCTATGCTCCATTAAGCGACCTCACCTGGCGCCATGTCCTCGGGGATGTCAAATGAGTATGTCGCGCGGGAGAACTTGGGCGTGTGGTCGTTGACGTCTTGGACAGTGATGTTCAACCTCATGTCAGATGACTGCTTTCCATCGTCCGCTCGCACCAGGAGGGAATATTTTGAGCGCCTTTCCCTGTCCAGCTTCTTGGTGGCGATCAGGTCACCAGATTCGGGGTCAATGCGAAAGCTGTCATCTGCCCCACTGATGATGGTGTAAGTCACTAGAGCATTGGGACCCTAAGAGGAGAAATAGAAGCACATTAGGTGAAGTTTATTTTCTTTTAATTTACAGTGTCTACTTTCAAATATTTTTTATTATATTTTCAACACCAAATTTTGGTTTCAAACTTGCTATGCCAGTACGTTAGCCCCGTTTTTATACACTTTCCTTTAACATGTCGTCCTCAGAGAATAGAAAAGCAGAGCGCACTGACCGGTGAGGATCAAAGAAACTGTCTGCCAGCAAAACCAGACTCTTCACTTTCCATGTCTCCACATCAAACTCCAGACTTGTCAAGGATGAATAAAACCTTTCTCTGCGTAGTTTTTCCCACAGACAGTCAGGAAGGAAAGAGCTTGTGATTTAGATTTTTCGAAACGTATCACAAATGCGGATAATGAAACCAAAACAAGGAGAAAGGTTAAAGGGCTTTAATCAAAATGACCATCAGAGAGAAGATCCAAACAAGATTTGGGATTAAAAACATGAGGCTGTTGAGGTTCAGCTTCTGGAAAAAAAGGACTGGAGGCTAGGCAAATTCCCCATATTAAGGTAAAGTAATACTGTTAATTTTTTAAGTTATGCTTTCAAAAATTGCTAATAATTTTTATTATACAGTTCTCAAGCAGATAGATAGACACAGACTTTGAGTTGTAGGTACTCCAGGTTCTTCATAGTGTCCAAAAGTATGTAGGTCACTGTAAGTTGTTCCTAACAGTAACACAGCATAAAAAATAACATTAAAATGTTCCTGATGTGTATGGGGACCAGTAACTTAAATGTTAGCTGTGCTAACACTAAAACACTACACCAGCACACTATGTAACAGAAGCTAATGCTAAAGAGCTAACTCCAATTCAAGCCATGTTCTCCTTTGAAAGACTACATTGCTTGAGCACCAATTTAATTTTGATAGCATAATTTACATGTTTCATAATGTCATTAGATATTGCATTTATATTTCTTGTTTTTGTCTTCTTTGCTGTCCGTATTTTATTTTTATGTATGTTTCTTCTTTGAAATAAAGTTTTTTGGGGAAAAAAAGAACACGAAGAGAGGAAACGTGTCTGCTGCATAAACACTTTTCACCCAATTCAAAATAAGAGCATGAATATTAACATCTATCTACTTGAAGAAAACAGTTGCTACCAAAACTTCAACCCTGATGTCAAACTTTATCCAACCGAAAGCTTACAAAACATCCATGTAGATTTTGTCTGGAAAAATATATTTCAGGGAATCTAAGTGTACTGAACATTTTCCAAACTAAACAAAAACTGCTAGTTTAGTTTTGTCAGAACTAGCAAAAGTGCTGAAAAAACATTAACAATGATATTTCCGCTTTAGCAGATTAGAGGAAGTCTACCCACCATTAGAATGTATATTTACAGTTTCACAAAAAAAAAAATCACAAAAACATTTGTAAGACTAACAAAAACATATAAAATTAGATTTTGTGCTATAAGCCTTGTTCATGTCGTATGAATTTGTAGTTTTCCTTTACAAAATCAATTACCTGGTCCCATATTGCTTCACAAAGATCGAGGCTCCATGATATACACGATGGCCATGGTAAGAGGCTTTGGAACAGGAGAAGAGGACCAAATGTGATATGACATGTGAATGGGCCTGACGACAGAGCTTGACGTTTATATTTGTGTTGGGACAATGCAAGATCAGACAACTGTCTCTCTTTTGTATCTTCTGCCAAAAAAGCTAATGCGACTTCAAAAAGCTTATTGCTATTCACTGAGAAGCACCAAAGGCTCCAGTTACAGTTAAACTGAAAGAAACTCTTTCAGCTCTGCCTGATGTCTGTGTAACGCTGTCTGATCCTATCTGAACAATGAGGTGACTTATAAAGAGAGGTGTTGCATTAGGTTGTTTTATATTGACATATTTATTGGCTTGCTGGACAATGCTCAGATAATCTGGATTTTAAATAGACATTATAGTAGTTTTGCCAGGGTTCCATGCCTTTCCAAAATTCCTGACTCATATTTTCAATTAATTCTGTATATATTTTTTCTACATTTAATTTATTTTCAAATGTAATCTTTCCCATTACTTACAAAGCTGGATGAGTAAAAATGCATCTGTTAATTCTTAAATAAAGTGGTCCAATCAGAGTTTTTTTTTTTTATGTTGGATTATTAACATATTTACTCAACATTAAATTTTGACATTTTTTATATTCTGTTCCATTTATCTGACCAATTTATCTATATTTCACCCATTAAATCAATGCTTGAAAGATGTATCAAAACAAGACATTGTTTACATGTATTATATAAACACAATTTTTGTTTTAGGCATTTAATTTAGGAAAATCAAAGTTTCTCTATTCCAAGATGGAACTGTGAAGAAAGTGTGGGAAAAATAAGTTTTTTCATAATTTATTTTCATTCTTTCCAACACAACCTGGAAACTGCTAAAAGTTCCCAACCTCAACCCTCTACACAGTTTATTTTAATTTATGTAAAGGGCCAAAGCAGAGTAGTAAATTATAGTGAAATGGAAGGAAAGTTATACTGTGATACTCGTAAATAAAACCCAGAAGAACCTACTTAAAAGGTGCTTCAAAGGTTGTTAGAGGGGAATAATCAGCTTCATGGCAAAGATAGGTCAGGGATAAAGTTATGGAGAATTTTAAAGCTCAATAAGGTTATAAAAAATATGAAAAGCTTTTGATAATTTCAATCATCTAAAAATTGAATATGACAAAATGAAACCTACTGCCACACAGTCCTCCATTTGAACTGCCAGGGCAAGCAAGGACCTGGTCTTAATCAGAGAAGTAGCCAAAAGCCCAGGTAACCCTGGAGGAGCTGCAGAGACTGACAACTCCAGTGGAAGCATTTCTCAACAGAATAACTTTTTCTTGCAAATAGTACATATCAGGCCTTTATGGATGAATCAGAAGAAAAAATCTTGCAAGAAAGCCATAAAAAGTCCTGACTGCAGTTTGCCGCAGGACATGTAGGCAGACATGTCAGAAGGTCAGCTGAGAAAATTAAAAGCTACGTTTTGCCCTAAATGCAATGCGCTATGTTCTGTGGAAAATTTTTAGCAGGGACAGGAAAGCTGGTCAGAGACAAATAGAAGATAAATTGAGTTAAATACAGGGTGACCAAGGGTGCAAAAGGACTTTGGACAGGGGCAGAGGTTCATATTCATGCTGCCAGAACTGTAAGCATGTTTGAATGGCCCAGCCAAAGTCCATTTGTTAAATTTAATGGATATTTTTTAATGTGATAGAGTTTTACAGCTTGGAAATGTTTACCTATCGACAATTTATATCCAGTCTTTATGAGCTTGGGTTACTTTGCAAAGGAGGAAGGTCAAAATTATGTCTCTTTACTTACAAATCCAGTGAAGATGCAACCCAAAAGACTTGCAGCTATGTTTGCAACTAAAGGTGCACAGTATTGACCCATGGAGGCTGATTTCTTTAATTTATTTATGTAAGAAACTTTTTTTTTTTCACTTTACAACTGCAATTGTATAAAATGAAAAAAAAAAACACACACCAAAAAAACAATTGAATTTTGCAATTAGAATCTGAAAAAGTTGAAATAAAAATATTTACCAAAGCTACATACTAACTGCTGAACACTTGTACAATTTGACAGAGCATTAATAAAGTCTAATAGATATTACAGGTCAAATGTTGCACAACCTAAGCAACTTCATATCAGCAGTCTGTAAAAGTCCTGCTGGCGTCCCGCTGCTGGAACCCTGTGCAGTGAGACAATAAAAAGTTACGTGCAAGTGGAGCAGATTTTTAGTATTTACTTAATGTTATAACAGTTTGGCTGGATTGGATAAAAGATAAAGCTTGTCTCTCATAAAATCAAATGAAAAGTTCTTCCATTCCAAGTCTTTTAACAACTTTTAGCCAAAACCTTTAGACAGACTGAGAATTGCTAGGCTAAGTTCATGACTTACTCTTATCTTTTTCTTTGTGCTGTGAGTGAGTTCTTTTTTGAAAAACTGTCTTCTTGACTTTGTCCCTCATTGCATTACCAGAACTTTGTCTAAGTTCCAGGTCCAATGGAAAAAAAAGGAAGGAGAGCAAAATTCTGCTCATCTAAGGACCCTGCTGTCATCAATCATTTGCTCCAGATCTGGCAATCCCATTAGCCACCTGCGCCGCGGTCCGGAACCCAACACCCATGGTTTGCCAATTAATTTTCTGATATGGTTCAGAGGCAGAGCAAGAAAAGGTGGGAGATGCTGAGCTGGGGGCTCATCTGAGCACAAAGATCTATAAAAAGATCTCTGCTGTCATTTTAATTCATTTACCTTCTCCAAATAGTTTGGTTTCTTTGAGTTCACAACCATAAAATCCTCCTTGCCCACAAATACACCACTGCTCAGCTCCCTGACCTTGACTCTGGTTGTCTGCTTTATAGTGCCCCTTTGAGAGAGAAGGCTGTTATAAAGGAGGACACTGCTGACCAGTTAAACTGTGGTGTTTTGCGAATATGTTACACCAGACGGGGGCATAGGGAATTCATTTAGCAGATGATGGCTCTTAGCTACTAACAGAAGTGAAAGGTGTGAACCAAGGACTGCCAGCAGGGACACCTACCCAATCACAACACAAACTCCTAGAAAACAAGTGCCGACAGCTCAAGGATAGAGAAGCTGATAGAAAAAATTGGACCAAGCTGCTGCAGTGTATGTGTTTCAGTCAATGATTTTTCATGTCTTCGAAATACACTCACTGGTCGTTTCATTAGCTGCATCTTGCTAGTATGTTGGGCTGGACTATATGGATAAAAACGTTATCAGACTATTAGGGTTTCATGTCAGTCAATATTAATAATTTTTTATTAGTTGTTTGTTTTAAATATCTGAAATACTACCAACCTGTTGGTTTGACCTTACATGTTTTATCCAGTTTTTTCTCAGTTTTTTAAATTTATTTTTAAGCTGCTATGAGACACAGTACCGAAACCAGAAACTGCTGCAACAGTTACTCAACAAGTTGTTGCTAGTTAACCGAAGATTGAGTATATTAGTTGATACCAGCAACCTTCCTTAGTTAGTCTTGAGAGTTTGAGCAGCTAAAGACTTTCTTCTCTCTACATCCCCCAGAATGCTGTGTGGTTCTTCATCATCATATTCTATCATATGAAAATACCATCACAACAGCCAAAAATATCAATAAAAGGCAGGATGGATCTATGTTATCATTTATTTATTTATTTATTTTTCTTTCTTTCAAATTCTGGCTTTATCTGAATATCACTGCTGAACTGAAGACTCATTGGACCAGGCATTGTTTTTCCAATCTGATGCCTCCCAGTTTTGGTTTGCCTGTGTGAATTGTAGCCTCAGTTTGCTGTTTTTAGTGGTGCCTGGTCTTCTGCTGCTCTAATCCATCTGCTTCAGGTTTTAAAGAGTTGTGTGTCCACGGACGCTATTCTACCTTGCATGGTTGTAACTGCTGCTTTTTATTTTCTCCAACCAATTTGCCAATTCTCTGACATCAACAAGGCGTTTTCACCCACACAATTGCCAGTAACTGGAAATGTATTTTTTTTAATCATTATTTGCTAACCAAAGAGAAGTTACCAGAAAGTAGTGATACCTACTTTCTGAAATATTCAGACCAGGGGGTATTGCAGCAAGTTACTACTTGCAATCAGACCTCTTATAGAAGCAGGAAAGCCAATAAGAAGCATTTTCAATAGACACAGTTGTTTTTATTAATTTTATATAAACCCAACTGGAAATGTGAGTGGTAAAAATGGATGCATTGAACCAATATTTAAATCCCCTCACACATGAATCCCACATGTAGCGCTGTTAAATGGGATGGGATCATTATGGTGTCTGAACTCAGCCCTTTAGCTGGCCAACGTTTTGCACTCTTGGCTACTCTGAGCTGGCTTTGCGAATGTGGCTTTCCCAACGTTGTGCTCTGAACGCTGAGTGTCAGCGCAACTCTAGTTTCCTGCGTAAGGATGTGGGCAAAGACTTGGCTGGATTCATATCTGGCTCTGAAGGGAGCCTGGATAAAATACAGGCTTCTATTTAGCAATCTATTCATGGGAGCACTGGAGTTTGGAGTAAACATCACTATAATCTGTAAATCCTAAATAGGCTCCTTGAAGTTGTATTCTTGTTTATTTCAATTTCTACATCAAAACCAGGTTTGACTTCTCTCTGCTAGGTTATTTTACATAATTTTTCAATCATTTGTTATATGCAGACCTCTAAGGGAACGTATTTAATTCGAAACAGCTCAGGGTTTTCAAAACTTCACACAGGGAAAAGTGACCATGGATTTAATACCTTATATTAAAACATCTATGGTTAAAACTTTTTTTTTTTTTTGGCTGCCATAATTGATTTAAAATCAAATAACCTACCTAAATCTTGTAGGTAAAAAGAGACTGTAGGTCTTTGTGTGACTTTTCACAAATTTAGAGCAAGAAGAAGGGAGTGAGGCAACAGCTGTGCAATAAAAATCTGTGGCCTCGTAAGTTAAATCTGAGTCCATAGGCATTCTTTCTAATCTCTCTCCTCTCTGTGACTTGACTTTTTCCATTAACTTAAAATGTATTCTTTGGTTTGAAGAAGGGACCGCAGACATTTTGAGGGGCTACAAGGCCTGCATTTTACCTCCTGCAGAATTTAACATCCACATCTGCATGACGCAGCTGAAGAAGAAAGCTTCAGATTTCTGAGGGATGCTGTTGAAGTAAAGGAAATGACTGACTTCACAAAGGGACAGTCAAAATAGGGGGCTGGAATTCTCCTTAACAGGGTTTTTACCAGTATTACAGTTATTTAAGTGAATTGAACCAACCTGGCCCAGGGTGAAAAGGTACTTGTAGGCTACACCTCATTGGTTTGGCGGTATTAACAGCTAAAATGTGGTTTCTTTAACAAGCCAATGAGTTTTTTTTTTACATTGTTCAAGAATTTTGACTCTGCATTCCTTGCAAAGTTGCTTTAGTTTAACCATGAATGGTCAGGCAGCCGGATTTAAATCTGAATTAAAACCAGACTTTGACTAGGCCATTCCAAAACCTTCCTTGTGCGGCCTTAAGCTATTCTTTGTTGATATGGTTTCATATCACTGTTGTCATGGACTGATTGTTGGAGATTCTCTTTAAAGCAGCGGTATGGAACGTTCATAAAATGTGTTTACGTTTTTGTTTTTTTTTATTACATTGTTGTTAAAACTATCAGTATGTTGTGACAGTATGGCATAAAACACATAATCTGTGAAAAAATTTTAGCTCCTTATGTCATCTGAACAAATACACTGCCCTGTCAGAAACAACCAATCATCTTCACGTACTCTCTCCTCACACCTGTCATGAATGCTAAGGCTAACTAATATGACTACCGATGATGGTATATAAAGAAATTGTAATTTGCGTTATCTAATTTGCGTAATTTGTAAATTGTGTTAGTTTTCAACATCAGTGGATCAGTCCCATGCATGCTGTTTTTATCCAGTTTGCTGAATCATGAAGCCTGATCCTAACTAAAGTATGTGAGCTCAGCTGAACTTGAAATGTTCTTTTATAATCTCCAGGATGAGTCATCAGTGTGCTCTTGAAGTAATTTTGGTAGGCCAGGCCCTTATTAGAAAATTCATCCCTGTTTAATCTTCCCTTTAATTATGAATAATCACTCTCAATGTACTTCACTTAAGTTAAGAACATTTCAGCTTCAGAAAATAATTTCAGCTTAGAAATCATTTTCAAAGCCAATTTTAGATTGGTACTACTTTTGAGATCTTTGTAGCCTACTGCATCGGCAGGTTCTAGTGAATTATTTGCTCTACGGGTTCTAGTGAATTATTTGCTCTACAGGTTCATTCCAATAAAACTCAACAAAAAATGTGGTTAATCACAACGATGCTCTAAAGCCATGATTTCATACGGTGCAGGCCTGGTTTGGATAGATAATAATGAAACCAATCACTCAAGCTGATCTTTATGGCTAAATATTTACAACTGAGCCACAGGTTTCTGGAAATTAACATTTTATTTGAATGACTTTTCTGGTTTACAATTTCAAATTGTTGCTAATAAAATGTGACCTAATTGAATTTAGTGTTGCTTGAAGAACTATTTGGATCACATTTTCATTTCAAATTGCTTACATCCATTCTGGAAGCGTCTAAATGGAAAATGGGCACAGCGAAGCACAAAAGCAGTCAGACAGAAAAGAAAGTTTGGGAGCCATTACCTCATCTGCATCTGTGGCTGTTAGCTGCATTATCTTGAAGCCATCTCCAACATTCTCCTCAATGGTCACATCCAGAATATCATTAGGAAAAACAGGTGGGTTGTCATTGATGTCCTGCAGAGTGATCTCCACCTGCAGAGGAGGAAGAAGAGGAAACGCCAGAGTTTTTTTATTAAAACTTTGCCAAATGGCTGCATTCTACCTGCTGCAGCTGCAGAGATCACAGCAAAGCAGTAACCTTTTCTGTCTTCTTGGATTTCATAAGATGAAGGAGCTACACTTGCAGAACAAATGTGCTGCTATTTAATTCTAGAAAAAAACTGAAATTATGAGGTGTTGTGAGAAGGTGAAAAAGAAGTTAGTAAAGCCGACAGGGATGAGAAAAATAAAATCCACATTTTGTTCAGTTTTGGTTTGAGCACACAATGAAATATTTTCAGTTTCTATTATTCAGTACCCATTGCTATCATTTACAAAAGAAAACAAAGCCAAGAAGTTTGTATAACACCAAATACACTTCAGGGTCAGGTGAAACAACTTGCCAAAAAGACTTGCTTGTTTGCAAGGTTTGAAAGGAGAACGCATTTACTTGTTAAGAAAAGTGCGGCTGCACATATTAGGTTTGCAAAGTGGATTTTGAATGAAGGAGTATCTGACCTTGATGCAAAATAAAATAAAGTTTAACAGTACAAATACTCAATATCAACAGAAAAAGCACAAAAGCAGTCAGACTGAACTGACTGCTTTTACAGAAAGGTGAGTTTATTAAAGATATTCCTCAGTCTTGTGTTTGTTTTTTGCTTGGTAAAGACAAAACAAAGCTATAAAACATTTAATAATCAGTTGATAAATTCTGTTTTGATTTGTAATACTGTAAATGTTACCATTCAAACCAGAACATGTGGCTTAAAGAAGGATTGCACTGTGTCTATGAACTGCCTTAGCTATTGGCAAAGTAACATTTGTGATAACTTTAACTTTGGCTGCATGCTGTCACATGTGTCTTTCTCTTTTTTTACCCAACTATGACAGTAAAATAACTTATTAAACCGCATAGATAAAGCTGTGGTACAGTGAAATGAGCTGGGCTAAAGAGTCTGACTTTTTTATTTAGTTTTGGCTTCACTAAAAATTTATTTTTCATTAAGTTTTATCTAAAGTTCCAACTAGCCTATGTTTTCATATTTATTCCTATTCAAACCAACCAATAAAGCAGGAGTTTATTACACTCAATAAATCAATAAAACTGTGGTTCTGTATCTAATGGAGGCTAATAGAGTACTATGGCACTTAAGTAACATATTTTGTGACTTATAAAAATGAAAATAATATTTACAAAATAATGTTTGCTTAGCCAAACCTAAACATTTGCAACGAAATTAACTTCATTAGAGATTGTTTCAATAACTATAATTAAACAGCAATAAAACAACACATATTTCTATTGCAGGATATCAACTGATTTCAATTATCACATAAAAATAAACAATAACACTCTAGTGGATCATAACTGATATATAAAAACTACATTAATTCTGGAGCTTATGCAAATCAAACCCTTTAAAAATTAATTTCGGGCATATTTCCTCAGGGATAAGCAGTGAGTGTAGCAGCAGAGCAACTAACTGCAGCTCAGGGAGTTTCACTTTCAAGTCCTCCAAACCAAAATAAACATGTATTACAGTAGACCACAGACCCCCCATGTGGATAAACTTTGCCCTGCATACAAAGAGATTCACTCTGATAAGTTAGATTCAATACAGATGGAGCAGTGGTGTGAGCGAAACCTGCAATTAGGTCTGCTATTTATATAAATTACGAGATTTCATGTTAATCAAAGTCTGCTGAATCTTTTCCGTATTTCACTCAGAATCACATGGGGACCGCATGAGTATCCTTAAAGATTCACATTTAGTGAAGGTTTGCCACCATTGGAGCTGGTGGTTGTGCAATCTTTGGTTTGGTTTGGATGAATTTATCTGAACAAGATGTAAGGGTGGAAATAATGAAGATGGTATTGTTGACAATCTGATGTGTTACACAAATATGGCTTAACCTAAAAAAACAAAACCTTTTTTTTTTTTCTATTACTGGGAATAACTATTCAGTTATGAGCTTTTGTTTACTGGCATCATACTCCAGCTATATGAATGTTTTTCTCCAAATCTAATATAAAGCCAATAAAGCAAATTATGGAGGAAAAATCTTTGTTACATCAAAGATGTTTTCTATAGTTCCAACCTGCTATAGCTCAGTAGCAAAAAGGCAATTATACAAGGCTTAGTGTCCAGTAGTCTGGGTGAAAGTGGAAACTCTTGAGACAGTGAGAATGAGACATTTATGGTTTCAGTTCCAAGTCTAGAGTAGCAATATTAAATTTCCAGTCATATACCACAACTTAGACTCCTGTCCCCACCATTTCATCCTCTAAAACAAATATAGATTTCAAAGCCAGTAAACATGGCGAGCTCTGGAATCATAACAGACATTTTGGTGTATTTTACGTGTTTATTGCTTCTATAAACACAGAAAAGCCTTGCTTAAAGGTTCCAGTGATCAGCTCTTCATTAATGTTGACAGTGATTATGATCATTTCTTTAGCATTCTTGAACCTTTGTTGCCCAACTTCCTATAACACATGCTCGGAAAAAAAAAAATGCATTTTTAAGAAGAAATATCAAAAATAATTGAGCTGGAAAATGTACAATAGAGTTGTGAAAAGAACATTTTCCTCCAACAATTTTGCTTTTTTGTAGCACGTAAGTGTGTTTAATCGCCTAACAAATTTTAAAATCAGACAGAAGTCTGAGCAGAAAAACTGATTTATTTTCTTAAATCAGAAATCAAATGTGATTTATTTTCATGAACCACACCCAGGCCAAAAAACTGCCTGATCTGGAGAACCAATACATCCATTAAGAAGAACCTCTCTGACAAGATGAAGTACAATATACCAAATATTTGCCTGGTTAGGGTCCAAAAGCCATTGTGAAACAACAGTGAGAACCATCATCTACAAATGGAGAAAACATGGAATGATGATGGTCCATCCCAAGAAAGCCTGGCCCATTAAAATTACTGCAAGATAACATTGATGGGTCATCTAGGAGGTCACAAAGGAACTGAAAGCATCTATGGTGAAAACTGGGCTAAAATTGCTTTTTTAAGAGAGGTTCAAGTTGAAACTACAGACCAAAATTGATACAATTCGAAATTGGAAGGAACCAGAAGTTCTGCCCGCTAGCAGAAAATTCCCAAATAGAACATCACTCCATGACCTTAAACTTGAGCCCTTTTGGGCACAACCAGTAATTAGGTTTATGGGGCAATTACCATTTTAACAGGACCAGGTTGGTCTGGGAAGCAATTTTGCCCTTCAACAAATGAATCATTGTTTTACAACTGCAGTTTGTATTTACACAGGTTATCCTCATCTGATATGAAAAGTTGTAAAACCAGACATCTGTAAGGCACCAACAGTCTAGGTGAAGGTTTCTAAAACAACAGTTCTCTATTAGGACCTGAAAAGGCAAACAATGGCCCTCAAGGCCAAGTAGAAGGTCAGACAAAGGAATAACTTCATGTTGTGCTTTTAACAGGAAAAGCTGTCTTTAAATGTCCTACAAATCCGCCTTCCAGCCAACAGATGCAGGAAACTCGGAACAACAGCTGCCACTGACTCGCTCTGGAGTCAGTTCAGCCTCTCTCATTAAAGGCGACCCAGAATCGAACAGTTGGAGGGGAAGATTGCTGAAATGGTGCCACAGCCTAACATGATGAAGCGCGCCTCTGCTGTTTGGTGTTGTGACACATTCAGGTCACAGGTCACAATTACGACAAATCACCTCATTCAGAAGCCATTCATCTGATCGGGCTGTGCAGGAAGAGGATGTTGTCCACTTATTAAGCCCACTATGAGTCGGTGTCAGCCTGTCAGCTTGAGTGGGGATAATTACAGGAGAACAAGGCGGATTATGTTCCGGGGCACCAGCGATGCAGAAGTCGCATAAACAAGTCACAATGACAGCGGCTCTTGACTCAACTTGCGCCAGAGCCGAGGGAACGGGGGCAAAGTCAACAAGGAATATTTATCTCCCTTGATGTGTAAATAATGCAAGGCCAACTTCTGAGGAGTGAACTAATTAGTGTAGAAATGCAGTTTTTAGAAATAATTACACTTCACTCTTTCAGTTTGCACTAGCCAGGCCCCTGTGGGACAGAGATATATCAAAGAGAATTTGGTGAAGAATTTATCTGAGGAAGAGGAAGCAAGGTCAAGACAGGGAGTGAAGTGGGGGGGACAGGTGGGAAGAGAGAGTTTGCTCCCTCGACGCCATGGCCCAGGCAGGTGAAACACATTAGTTTACAAGCTATAAGATTATGTTTCACGAACTACTGTTTCAAGTTGCAGGTGCTGCTAACTGGCTGCCAGGGTTTTATTATTTATGGGGAGGTATGAATGATTCACACGCCGAGACTGTAAGTGATGGAGGATATTTGTCCAAGAAGTTGAGGCCGGAGCTTCACCTCAGCTGTGATGAATTCATCTTAGTGAAAAATTCCCAATGCTTGTGTGATATATGTAGGAATGACAGGTGAGATGATTTAGATGTCTGAGCTCAAGTTCTATATGTTGCTCTGTGTTCTCGCTCATAAAATTTAAATTTACAGGTTTGTTTCACTCATATTACAGAAAGACATTTATTTCCTCAAGCCTTTGGAACCACATGGCTTTGCAGATGTTTTTTTTATTATTATTATTTATATTTGCAAATCTTGGTGGAAAATCTGTGTCCAAGTATTGTTTTCATTCTGTTTCACAGTTGTGCACTACTTTGCTGGCCGAGCAAGTTAAAGATAACCTTTTATGCTTTCTTTTAAACCTGAGTTACAATATGTCTGTACATAATTCAAAGGTTCAAGCACAAAATATTTCTAATGAAATGTTAGTCTGCTCAGTTCTGCCTTTCGGAATGAGCTGTTTTAGGATTTAGTCACTTTAAATGCAAATCAACTGCTGTTGACCAACTTAGTGTTTACACTCACACTTTATAAACATGAAAATGGCTGCAAAAAAGATGTGCAATATACAAACATCCATCTTTGTAAAGCAGAAGAAGAGCTTCCTGCAC